TAGTGAATGTATATCCTACGGGTATTTCTAGTCTTGAGGAAGTAAGTATTCCAGTAAATACTGATGTGATCGTTTGTGATTTTGCTTTTTTTTAAACAATATGCAGTTGACACTAGCCTGCATGGGGCTAAAGAGTCAAGGAGTTGATAATCATTTATAAAAAGTAAGAGAAGGAAAGGCCATGAGTTAGACCCTGCAAGGCCCCAAAACCGAAATGCTCGAAAGAGTACAATTTTGACAAAATTGATTCCAAGATTTCCATAGTGTTTGTGTATGGTTAGGCCGTTCTTAGCAATTTCGTTGGTTAGGCCGTTCTTAGCAATTTCGTTGATGACTTTTGCCCATACGCATGTGATACACGTCCAGACCAGCCAAGCCATTGATAAAACTCTGTTGTCAAAGACATTTTCTTGAGACAAAATTTCGGAGCTAAAAAAAATTATCCGTCAGTAACAAATCTTGTGAATTTGGAACAAGAATTCCGAACAAGAGCCGTTAGGGAGACTACGTTTATCAGGAAGGCTATGATCTGCTGAAGTTTCTCCTGCTGCTTTGTAAAGCTCTAATTTGAATGTTAATTTTATCTATGGGAGATTGTACAAGACTTAACCAAATTGGAGTTTGATATTTATTGCCACGTCTGTCATAGTTTTTAGCTCTGTCAGGCTAGATGATAGCGAGCTTTTTAATTTGTAATCCGTGTTGTTTTTCAAGAAGTTGCAAAACAACATTGTGATTCACATTGTGCTTGGACTTCTACGTTTGGTGGGAATGGTTGAGAGGGTCAGGCCTGTAAACAGTCTTGAAAACTGAGGTGATATTTGCTCAAAGCCAGTTTTAGAAGTGTCTAAGAAGAAATGGATTCTGTGAAGAATGTCTACGGAAAGAGCAGGTATGCCCGTATACCTATGCGTGGTAATAGGTAAAAAGTAGTAGATAAATGTATGTAAATGATGAAACTAAGAATCATCTAAAATGCAGACAACAATAAAACATCGAATTCAGGTCGCTACTTGGAGGGACTGGGGGAAGGAGGGCAACAGCAACCCCCTCCCCCCTTCCCAAGACTGTTTGCCTACACAAGGTTTGGCTTGCCCCCACACCCCAAGAGCCAATGTTAATTAAAACTTTTTTGTTACTAAATTACACCTGCTAACCCATTCGCGCCGGGTGTCACGTATACGTGACGTGCCCACTGTGAGTTTACTTGTTTAGTTGTTTTCACACATAGATGGCTACACTTGTACCTGTACTGCCAGTTTCGCCTGTTTACCCTTTTCTTTAATTTACGAAAATATTTTACGTTATCTTATTTTGCTGTAATTCTGATGTTTATAATAAAAATAACAATCGATATTCATAGTACTAGTAAAAATACATTTTCCCGCCAATTCAAGTAAAGGTGAAATAAGGTAAGGCAGAGCCATCTAGTGTAGAGACATTTCACAAAAAAACAAAAATGAGCACAGCATTCTCTCCATTTTTTGTTCATTTTAACCCGGCGCGAATGGGCTAAAATAGCTTTTCCTTTTTTGTTAATTTCGCTCGCCTACCCGCAGAAATGACGTCCCTGGTTATATACATGAATATTCACTTAGTCACCGGCGAGGGTTGAGGGAGCAGAGGTGGAAACATTAATCTTATATACATTTCAGCTTATTATCACTTGTATTATGCATTACAGTCTTTTCGAAAGTTAAAAAATCTCCTGTTATCATAGTATACCATGAATATTAGTTAGTTGACAGAAAACGAAACTTTAAATAAATGGGGTGACTAAAATAAATATAAAGATTCAATTAATTGTACATTGAATGCCTTTTCTCAGAGCCACTGCCGACTGTGCCGGACTCGTTCACCACCAACGTTGAGATAGCTTTCGAAGAGAAGAAAATGAAGGTCATTTACGGTGCAGAGAGTTTCGATGGCGTCCTGAACACAGGAGTCCTTCGCTACGAGTTAAGTGAGTTCGTCGTCATATACTTGTTATATATACGTATTGATATATATGGAGGCAAACAGGTAAGTGGAGAGACGGGTAGATAAATAGATCCGGAAATAAACAGTTTGACAGACAGATAAATAAATAAGTAGGGTAACAAATGTATAATTAAACAGATAGTTATGTATAAAAATTATAAGTGCAATGTTGTATGTGGATAAATAGAGACAGACAGAATACACATAGTTGTTGATATATGTAAAAACATATACAGGGAAGTGATTAAAAGGAAAGGCAAATTGTTAATCAGATAGGCGGTCAGACAGAGAAACTGGGCAAAAGCATACAACAATATGTATCCAATCTCCATGTATTTATATCATTTTGCGCCATGTATTTATATCACATTCCTTTTATTCTTTACTAAATATACTATTTCCCTAAATTCTGGGAACCACTCGAACTGCATTTTATCGCTAAGCGTGGATTCTCCAAAAGATTTTTTATGCTGTACATTTGGAACCCACACTATAAAATAATAATAATAACAATCACAGA